TGAATGTAAATTACTAAGTGTTGGGAATATGAGCATTGTTTTATTACTGTTGGAAAAAGTGAGTGCTCGTATTCATTAAATTAAGTGTTGGGAATTGCAATGAGAAAATTTGAGAATAAAAATGAGAAGAGTTTTTCTAGAAAAGAATTTTATTTTAGTTTTGTTTTAGTATGGTTTTGATTGATATTGAAATGTTGTATTTGTAATAGTTATATTTTCTTCATCTTTAGCTTCTCATCTATAGATAGGCAGTTCCATTTCTAACACCCTTCCACTTGCGTGCCCCCACAAGGGATAATTATATACCCATTCGCCACCCAAGAAAATTGTCAAGTTGAAAAAAGCTGGGCAATATTTGATATCCTGGAAAAGAGAATGAACTTATTCATATTCAAATTACTAATCACTGGCAGACCTGTATAAGTTTGCTAAAATGTTAAAAACTGTTGTCGGCAGAATATTTACCCAAACAAATTATAGAGCAAAACAATGAGCTGGTGAGGGTTAAATATTTATCCAGATGTCAAAGAGGTGGGGTACGTCCCCCACGTAAGGCTTGGCAAAGACTATTTTTTTTCCCAGAATCTTGCCGTTAAAAATATTTTTTCATTTTCGGAGTTTATGAATCATTAGAGGAGTTTCTAATTCTCACGAGAAAATGAATTTCCGTGTTAAGAACCATCAGAATCGCATATGGTATGGAAATCTTTCTGTTGAATGCCCATAACTGTTATGCTGATATGGTCATATACAACTACCCCACATTCTTTCTAGAAAAAGAGGTTAACCCATCTCCGTCCCATGCCGGGATCCGTTATTGGTATGATACTATACGCAGCCAATTGAGAAGATTGTCACGCGGATCTTTGAGACTAGTGTAATCTCAAAGGGCAGATGATTGATCTACTGATCCCTTTGATCCAATTCGGTTGCTTAGGGCAGAATACAATGCCGACAAATCTTCGAATCGACCAGTCCAAGAATACTCCTTGCTAAGCCAAACGAGAATTCAATTGTCATGTATGCGCTCGTAAGTTTAGATTTTCCCCAAAATTAATTCAATTTCCGTAAAGTTTAAATTTGGAGCAATTGGGGACCCCCGAAATTTTCTAGCCGACCCACAATAGCCGTTCTCAAGATTAATTCACTTGAGATCCATTAATGTACAATCTTAAAATTGTTTATATAGATCAAAATCGTCTTAGTAGCTAAGGTTTCTAATCTTCGTTATGTCCCTTTATGGCTTTTCTCCAAGTTTGCAGTAAATTGACAGATATATTCTTCGCCAAGAGGTTTAAACATGATGCTTCGTTCGGTGTGGTAAATTAATCTCAACCCCATAAAAAATAAATTATTTTTTAAGTTTCTTTTTCCGAGAAAAGTTTTTCTTTTGTATTGTGGTTAGTATCGGCCATTGAAGACAAAGATGACAAACTTCAAAAAGAAAAAGCCCTCATATCACCCACCCCGAAAAAATAGATAAAGAGAAGGTCACTATACACTGTGGGGAACTTTGGGTGAACATAAGAAACTCCCCCCCCTTTTGACAAATATAAATACATTTAGAGATTTCCAAAATCTTCATATCAATTTTTTGTTTGCTCCCTCTAACCAAGTAACAATACTCATCACCATGTCTACATCAGATATTGAAAAAGAAGACTTCTCGAAAGTCGAAGTAGTCAGCTCTGAAGAAATTTCAGAAGAGCACAAAGCATATCTTCTTGCTAAACATGGAAGATACGATTTAGTTCCATTACCGTCAATGAATGATGACGATCCACTCAATTGGCCCAATTGGCTTAAACATATGCAATTAACAATGGTAGCTGTTCACGGTTTCTTCGGTACATTTTATGCTTCTGGTTTAGTGCCATCATTCGGGAAATTGACTGTAGAATTAGCAACTCCAACCCCTATGCTCGCTTATTTGACAAGTGCTCAGATTGTCATATTGGGTTCTTTTCCCATGATTTGGGTTCCATTAATGAATAAATACGGGAAAAGAAAATTATTGATCCTTTCAGTGTTTGGATCTATGTGTTTCAATCTCGGTGCAATTTTCTGTAAGACATATGGATCTCTTATGGCTATGAGATGTATGCAAGCCCTTTTTATTTGTGCTGGTTTAGCTGTTGGTGGGTCTGTCGTTGCTGAAACTACATTCGCTCATCAAAGAGGTTCCAGATCCGGTGTTTGGGCCCTATTGGTTAACTTGGGTACTATGTTGGGAGCGGTATTTATGGGATTGGTTGCACAACGTCAAGATGTTAAATATGTATTTGTTGTCTTTACTTGTATCGACTTTTTACAATTAGTTAACTATCTTTTATTTGGGAGAGAAACTCTTTACAACTATGCTGATCCTTCAAGAAATGAACCAAATAGATACAAGCAATTAACTAATTTCAGAGCAATCATCCCAGAACGTAAATTAAATGTTCTTACAATCATAGCTCCCTTCAAATATTTTGCTAATTGGAGAATCCTCATCGCTGCTTTAGCTTATGGTGTCTGTTTCATGCATGATAATATTGCCACTAATGTTGAAATTCCACAAGTCATGTTCGTTAAATTTGGATTAGGTCCACAAGCATTAGGATTACAATTTCTTGCATTCGTAATTGGGTCTATTATTGGTGAAGTTGGTGGTATCTTAAGTGACAAATTAGTTGCTTATGGTAGAAGAAACAACCGTGGTAATTCATTCCGTCTTTGGGTGACTTATCCAGGTTTCATATGTTCTATTATTGGTATTGTTCAATTCGGGTTTATGATAGATAAAGCCGTAACTTGGAGTGTTGTTCCGTTGGTCGGGTTGGCCATTAGTAATTTTGGTTTCCAAATTTTGACTTCTCCATTGATTGCATTCTCCATGGATACTGATCCAGTCAATGCAAGTCAAATTGCTTTGTTCATGACTTTTGTTAGACAATTCCTTGGATTTATTGGTCCTTTCTATTATCCAACTATGTTTGAAAATATGGGCTTTACTAAGGCTTATGGAACAATGGCAGGGTTAATGGCTGCCATTGGATTTGTTCCAGTTTTGTGTATGCATTTGTTTGAATCCAAGAAAGGAAGATAGTTGATCTGCTCTTCCCTTTGTATTTATTTATAGTCTAGGTATTACGACACTTTTTTAATCAACGGCTGATACATTTGAAGTCATTTTGTAGAATCACTTGTTAATTTCGAGAAAACTCTAAGACGACCTTGAAGCCATCTCTCTATCTACACCGAAATATATCTGACTTCTGATTTAGAATATACTGGTAATAACACTGCCAGACTGAAGACTTACAGAATCTAACTAATAGCTTTTCGGTCTTGGAAAGGGTTCCAAATGCGGAATGTAATCAGCGTCCAACATAAAAGATATCAACAAAGTCAAACGAATTAAGAAAATAGAGTATATCGACAAAGTCATCAAGTCAGTTTACTAATCTTTCAAGAGACAGACATTGGTCTAATGTTTGAATTGGACCGAGTTGACTATCAAATCAAATAGGGCATAGAGATAAGCATTGTATTAAGTATAAATATTTAAAAAAACTAGGTACGAACTAAACATAAAGAGACCGAAGACCATTCCGTGAATTATAACAATAATTCTTCATTCTCATATAACTTTTCATATGTATAAGTAACTTTCTTACCTTCTTTATATTCCTTCCAACCTCTTTCAACTTCTTCAAAAGCGTCATAACCCCAAAGGAAATCTTGGAAAACAGGATCAGCAAATCTGTTTGGACATCCATGGACAGGAGGATCCATAGCCATCTTTGCATCTCTAGCCACCTGACCTTCACCATCTACCATATGATAAATATTTTGACAATTGGTTGAACCTTGAACAACTTGAGTGGTTCTCCATTTACGCATTGATTCAGTCAATTCTAATAATTCATGGATTTGGGATTTGTCTTCAATACGGGCGAACAAACCAGCTAAGACTGTAGCATCTTCAATAGCTTGAGAGGCACCACTGGCTAAATAGGGTAAAGTGGCATGCGAAGCATCACCCAAGATAATACAGTTTCCGGTGGCATGAGTCCAGGTGGCCAATTCTCTTGAGTTTTGTAGACGCCATTTAGCAGTAGTATGAATCAATTTGAATAATGTTGATAAGGTTGGGTCCCAATCTTTAACGATGTCTAATAATTCTTCTTTGGAAGCTTCGGCAATCATGACATCTTCAGGTAAGGTATCTGGACCTAAGACAACGACGTTACAGGTCTTACCACCTTGTAAGAAGTACAACACAATGTGCATTGATGGGCCCCACCAAAAGGTAATATCTGGTCTTTTCCAGAGCAGTTCCAATTCAGGATATGGTTTCATTTCTTCAACATCAACTAAGGCACGATAAGCTAAATCCCCAGTATTATAAGCCAAATCTTCTTTACCCAAAATAAGAGAACGCAATTGTGATTTAACCCCGTCATAACCAACAATAACGTCACCACTGAAAGTTTTACCACTATCAGTTACACATGTTGAATTATCAAAATCAACAGAGACAACTCTAGCACTCAAGTGAACCTCAACCCCTACTTCATATGCTCTTTTGACAAGTGCAGCATGATAATCAGCACGATGTATGTGTAAATAATGCCCGTTGTATTTGTCAAGAGTATAAGGAACCAAATTCTGTTGAGATATTAAGTCCCCAGTATTCCATCTGCGAACAAGGATATCATTAGGGAAGATAGAAACATCTTCAACTTCTTTCAATACACCAAATGCATTTAAAACTTTGATGGATGGAGGAGGAATTTGAATACCAGCACCCACTTCACCTAATTCTTTTGCGGCTTCAAGAAGTAAGACTTTGTGACCAGCTAATTTAAGACCAATGGCAGCGGAAACACCACCTAATCCTGCACCTACAATAATGAATGTAAGTTCGATTGGGGCCCTTGGAAGGGTATGCTTTGGAATTTCAGGCATTACTTTCGGGGTAACTTGTTGGCTGTTGTTTGTAAGTTGAATTTTTGGAAATAGAGGTTGAACAGAGAGTAGATTATCTATAGTTTATATATCCCCGGAGGGGTAGTAAAAAAGATATTCTGGGGTAGGACGTTGTAGATTGCTTCTATTTGGTACGATTTTGTTTCGAGATCCACCGGTTAAGAGTTTATAAGTTTCCCCAACGTTGCTACTATCGCATAGAACACTAGAAATTTGCAAGCATCCCCTCGGAAAAACATTTAACAGGATCAATCGATTCCCTAACTGCCCCTCATAAGTTACCAACATCAACAAAAAACTGTCAACGATGATCTTGCAAGAAAAAAAACACCAAAGTTAAAAAAAAGTGGAGTCTAAAAATAGTTGGATTGAAAAATATTCCCATGGAGCAAAGAAAAATTTCTGATAAATTTATACCCGAAATATGTCGATTAGATTAAGCGAGAAGAATTACGATTTAAATTCGCTTATTAAAATTAGATCAGATGTTGCAAAAAAAAAAAAAAATTAAAGAAAACATCGAGGTGGGGTAAAGTGCGAATTGCTGTTGAAGTATGTTATTTTTTATCTCAACGGTGAGAATCACACTTAGACAAGCTTGAAATCCAAGGTTAGGCTTAACATCTAGATGCATAGCATGATAAACTCAATAACTGTAAATGATAACAAAGCATCCCAATTATAACTGGAGTTCCACTATCGAATACCCTAATCTTACCGGATGCATGTCACAATCCAGGTGGATAAGTTATTATTGTTTTCGCTGTCTATTGAACAGTATTTAATGCTATTCTCCTCAGTTCTTGGCGGAAAACTTCGTGCATTTAATACAATATTCTCCCTAAGTCATCTGTTTCTAGATTAAACTTACTTGCCATTCTTCCTTGTTCCTTTTCCCCACAAACCCCTCCACAAATAGAAGATATGTTAAGAATTGTAATGGAAGTTAAAGAATAACCTTAGAGAATAACCGTAAAGAATCTGCGAAAAATTAAATAATCGGAAATAAACTCTCAGTGACAGTAGTAGCTCCAACGTCCCTCACTGTATTAGTAATGAATTTGAAAAAATGTGCCAATGCTATTTTAATTTTCTTGGTTGCAACTCGTAAACAATCTTCCGGTTTTGTGCACAGAATAACATTAGACTACGTGACCTTGATTATTGTCTGCCAATTTGTGTCTGAGACATCGGCAGTGACGCACGACTGAAATGTACAGACGCCTAATCAAGCGTCAATCATGCATCATTTTAAGTGAATTCTATTGTTAAACCCCAAACATGTAATTTTTGCAATCTCTTCAATTTCTTGTCCATACTATCTAAGAAATTTACCAAACCTGAAAAAGAACAATATGAGCCGAGCTTTTTCCACCATAAATCTACAACACGGCTATTTCCTAGAAGAACCCAAAGTTTTCTATATCCGAAAATAACTTGCGTTTATTGCCTGAATGAAACCAAAAATTCATTCATCTCTATTGCTATTTGGAACCAAACCATATGTTATGAATTGAAAAAAAAATTATGGAATTCGATTTCCATAATAGACTCAGTTTGAGGTCAACAATGGTGTCGTAGGAAGAAATGCCAATGAAAAACCAGAAAATCCCAACTATCTATAAGTCAGTTTTTGTTACACGTGAAAAGAACGACTCCCGGTAATAGGTAAAAGTCCAAAACAGTGACAAGACAGTTAGTTGGGGTATTGCCGTGCAAGGGAAATAAATTTTCAACAAAAATGCCAAGCTGGTGATGCATAATACGGCGGAGATCGACGTCACTGCCATGAAAATTGAAAAGCTTTTTTATTGCATTCGTTTCGGGGGTCGCCAATATGTTTAGCCCTTTTCCCCTCCACCAAGATTTATTTTATGTATTTTGAAATATTTACTTGCATTGGTTTGTAGATTACATGCATTAGAAAAAACCAACAAACGTATTTCCGACAACTAAATTTTAGCCGTACAGCCATAAAATAATAAATTTTAAAACTCAATTTCTTGGAGTTTTTCCGGAATTTTTTTTTAGTTTGGGGTAGTTTTTTCTTAAAACATTTATTAGCGAAACTCAAGACAATAACACAAGACCTCAAGAAACTCCGAGACTAATGGCAAACCCATGTACCTAAAAAATAGCAAATGTGGGGAGTTTGGATGTCAATTTTCCTAAGAAATAAAAGATGCTTTCTGAAGCCCGTCAAATATAAATACACTTGAAGATTTCCAATCTTTACATCTCATTCAAAATCCTTATCACCAGACTAACTAACAGTAGTTAAAATAAACATGTCCTCCTCATCAGATATCGAAAAGGAAGTTGAAGTTGCCAAAGTTGACCTTGATGACTCTTTATCAGGAATCTCCGAAGAACACAAGGCATACCTTGTTGCCAAACATGGAACCAGTGACTTAGTTCCATTACCATCAATGGATGACAATGATCCACTTAATTGGTCAAACGGGATTAAACATTTACAATTGGGAATGGTAGCTTTCCATGGTTTCTTAGGTACCTTTTATGCTTCTGGTTTAGTGCCTTCTTTTGGTAGATTATCTGAAAATTTAGGTATGGAAACTCACACAGTTTCATATTTAGTTAGTGCTCAAATTATTGTCTTAGGTTCTTTCCCTATGATCTGGGTTCCTTTGATGAATAAATATGGTAAGAGAAAGTTGTTAATTCTTTCCTCCCTCGGATCCATGTCTTTCAATCTTGGTGCAGTTTTCAGTACTACTTATGGTGCACTTATGGCTATGAGAATTATGCAAGCAGTTTTTACTTCTGCTGGTTTAGCTGTTGGTGGTGCTGTTGTTCATGAAACTACTTTTGCTCATCAAAGAGGTTCCAGATCTGGTGTTTGGGCCTTATTGGTTAACTTGGGTACCATGTTGGGTGCCGTCTTTATGGGATTGGTTGCAGAACGTCACGATGTTAAATATGTGTTCCTTGTTTTTACATGTATAGATGCATTCATGGTGCTTTGTTATCTTGCATTAGGAAGGGAAACTCTTTACAATTATGAGGATGCTTCCAAGAATGAACCAAACACTTATAAACAATTGACCCAATTCCGTGCAATTATGCCAGAACGTAAGGTCAATATCCCAACTATCATTGGTCCTTTAAAATATTTCGGTAATTGGAGAATTATGATTTCTGCTTTAGCTTATGGTGTTTGTTTCATGCATG